TATTATTGGACAAAATTTATTAAAATTCAAAAAAATATGTCTTATTTTTAATTTAATAATTCTCACTTATATTTTTATATATTTTTGTAATAAACTTCAGTGAATAATAAACAAATTATTAACAAGAATATGTTTCTAATACTCTTCTTAATTTAATACAAAACACTATATATTATAGGTGAGCCCATGATTTAAATAATTAGCATTGCAATTTGCATTTTGCAACCTCAAATTGCAACTTTCACATGCTAATGGAAAAATATTAACATTTGCTTATAAAATTGATTTTAAGCTATCAAAAGTAATATTTTCTTAATAAAAAGTAAGTGTTTATTATATAAAAAATAATATATATATATATATATATATTAATAAAAAATTATTACTTTTTGGTATTTAAAATTAATCTTAAAATCTAATGTTAACCCAGCCTACTTACAACTAGTACAGAGAGTAAATAGATGAATGCAGATGTAACTGGACTTGACGTACTCTCTTTTCAAGAAGTTCATGAACCTCGCAGCTTCTGAACATAGTCCACACACAACAGCTGAATTTAGGCTAAACCTTTCTCTTTTCATTAAATTTTTTGTGCGTGCCCTTTCATAGTATAAGAAGTCAATTTGTAGCCCAACATTTCCCAGAAAATCATTTGGAAGGACAATATTTGCAATCAAAATTCATGATTATAAATGAGCAACGGAGTGTATGCAAACAAGCCGTAGTCACAAATTTCAGAGGAAAAAAGTTGCATACAAAGACCAAATGACAAGAACTTCCCTAGTATTACAGCTAGCAAAATTAAATAACAACATCAACAAAGTTAGCTAAGTCTATCGTATATGCAAATGTTCTCACTATAGTGTAACATCTGTAGCATGCATAACATTACACTTGTCATATAGTTTGAAATTGTGAAAAACTGCGAAAAAGAAAAATGCAGCACCACTTGCTATGAAATCACGAGAGTTTCAATATTGGGGTGACAATCATAGCTGTTGACGACAATTTAAAAGTAATATTCAACATACGAAAAAAAACCCATTTTGCTGTAGAGCTTGCAAATTGTTGAATATGTAATCAAATCATAGTAGCTCTTGTAACCTTTCAAAGGTTAGGAACGTTCCAAGTTAAGGGGTAAGGTTTCCTGATTTATTGGATCCATAATTGTTGGACTCCGCCGAATATATTGGAGAATAATAATAATAAAAAAAGCTTATAATAAGATGCATTTGGCTCTAGCAAGAGTGGATGGTGTGGTCCTATAACTCATCCAAAATTCCTTGCGGGAAACCCTCTCTAAATTATTGTTTTAAGAAAACGAACGCATTTGGTAATGGAGATGAACCATGTGTCACTCTCTCTGAGAATATGTGCCTCAGTGTACCAAACTATAACATTATAAAAATGAGTGATATGGGAGCAACACAACAAGTTTCAACATTATATAAATATATCCATCCAGAAGGTGTCTGCTTCGGTTCCAAACACTGCACAGAAACTTGGAGAAGATACATGTAACATTGGCTATAACTTTGAACGCTTTGCTTTGTTGGGTAGACATGCACACATAAGCAAAACCAGATGATTTTGAGGTATATGTACCCGCACTCGGTGATCAATTCAATGTGACACGTGTTCAAAGTTGCATATCATTCACATGTACTCACAGACATTTTTATTTTCAATTAATTTTTATTAATTTAAAACATATAATGCTGGATTTTATTCTTGATCATTTATAAGAAGCAGACTTCATTAAAAAAAATGTATTTATTTTTATACTCTTTTTTTTACTTTGAAAAAAAAAACTTGTAATAAAATATTTACATTTGCCGGAAGGATTTGAAAATATTAACCTAATAACATAATAAAATGCATTTAACGAAAGTTCTTATTGAATTCGACTGTTTTGAAATGGATGATAAAGAAATATGGTGTACAGTGATCATCCAAATTTTACGAGTATTATTAAATTAAAATATATTATATAATTATATACAAATTTTATAAATTTTAGAAAAAATAGTTTTAAAATGAGAAATTTCGTTTAATATACAAAAAGTAGATAAATAATTAAAGGATTTTTTTTTCTTTATATGAATATCATATTAAGATTTCAATTTCAATGTCGTTATGCTTGTTTAATTCAACCGGATCATATTATGGACAGAAAAAAAAAAATCGCATCGCCTTTTTCTACGCTCATTGATAGGCTTGTAAAATGTAAAATAACTTGACAAAAATAAGGAAAAATAAATAATTTGTGAAAAGCACTTTTTAAAAAACAGTGTATTTTCGCAAAGGATATCCAACTCCAACGAAAAGTGAAAGTCATCAATTTGTTTGTACGAGTCGTAATTGTAAGGGCATGTTTGATTTATGTTTTAAAAATAGTTTTTAATTATATTTTATTTTAAAAAATAGTTTTAAAATAGAAATTAAACATATTTAAAATCTTTAGTTATTTTTTCTACAATTTCTTTTATTTTTATTATATATATTTGACATAATTTGTTTTAGCTAAAACAATTCCAAACAGGCAAGTGCTTGGTAAACTTTACCTCTTGCCATTTTCAACGACAAGGACAAGAAGTTCATTTTTCATGTGCTCCCCAATTTCAAAGAACACTTAAAAGAAAATCGACTTTGCGTAAATTTCCTCACTCCACACGAATTTTATAGAAAACAGCACACAATCTTGGTGAGTGAAGCAAATAATCCATGCTCTCATGGACATGCAAAACATAAGTTAACAAGTAATGAAATAAAGAGGAAAGAAATGATAGAAGATATGTCATAAGAATGAGGACATTCTTGATAAAATCAATAATTCTTCTAAAAAGCTTTGAATTCTCTAGATTTGATTTAATCTCAAAAACTTCAGATTTTATATATATGTGCAAAATGAGAAGAATTTCATGTCTTTATAGGAGTCAACAATATTTTTCATTAAAAGACAAAGCAGTTACCATCTTGCTCGAGAAAAACTACACGTTAGTCTTTTTCATGTTCTACTTATTTCATTTTTACTTAAAGTTGATGTGCTTACTAAAGCCATAACTGTCCATTTTCCAACTTGTCGGGCATTAGATGATAAAATGGCCAACTGTTTTTTAATTTGGTTACTTAGTTACTTTTATTGAATTAACTTCATTCTATAGGTAATTGTTAAGCAGTTTGTATTTAATATATATACATTTTTGGCCTTGTATTCAAAGAACAATTATAATTCAAAATTCTTTCACTAAAAAGAGTTTTATTTGTTTTTATTCTTTTATAATTCGAAATGAACCGGTCCATAGAACTGACACTTTACAGAAGAAGGGATTCAAAGCCCAATCCTTTAGCTTTCGCTGCTCATTGCCACTTCTATTCATTAGCTTCTTATTATATACAGTGCCAATAAAGAATAAGTATATAGCATATTTGCACACAAAATGGTGAAATACATCTAAACTGTCGCTTTGAATGAGAGAAATGCACATCGCTGGCACCCAGTGTTGTGAATGGATTCTAGATAGAATGGATTTAAATATTATATTTAAAATATTTATTATTTTTTTAAAAAATATTAATAATAAAATTTTAATTAAAATGTATAAAAATAAATATTAATAATATTAAATAACAGTAAATAATAATAATAATTTATAATATTTAAAACATTAAATATAAAATAGATCATAAACTTGTGGATGAAACCTTATTTAATTATTTGGATAAAATTATAATATACTCAACATTATTCGGATAAAATCTTAATTTTAGATTATTTTTTTACTTTTTCAAAAACCTAATATACGAAGAAAGTATTGAATAAATAAAATTAAAAAAAAAAAAATTATACATATGATAAACTAAAAAGAATATTCTAGTCATAGAGTTATTTCGCATCTCTTAGATAGAATTTAGTAGCTTCTTACATCATAAATAGATATTAAAATAAATTTTTTGTAAGAACTAAAGTAAATTTTGATAATTTTATAAAAAAATTAATTTTTTAAATAGTATGATAATGTTGAATTCTGTTAACCACAACAAAAAATTATAAAAACTAATTCTAACTATTTTATATTTATTAAAAGCTAAAATAAAAAATTATAAAAAATAAAAGTAAATTTTAATAATTTTACAAAGACAAAATATATTTAACCCATATTTGTCTAATAAATTTTAACTATTAATATAAATGTCAAATGTTAATGTTATTTCAACATAATAACATATAATGTTAATGATGCATTAACAATTAAAACATACCTCATAACTTGTTACGATGTGATTAATAATAAATGAGGAGAATTTCACTTCCCACGACAGAATACTTTGGATGACATTATTTTTGTGAATTATGTAAAAAAGAATTATAAAAGCGTTATTTATTTCTGATTGATAATTGTTTAAAAAACTCAACTTACAATCTTTGATTATATATATATATATATACACACACACACAAACACACACCTTATTTTAAAGAGCCAAGTTTTAAAGCTATTATTAAAAGGTGTTAACTTATTTTTTAATTAATATTCGTTTATATAATACTACTTATAATCGATCATTTTTAAATCAAAATTAACTATTGTTTATTACTTCACATCTTTCTTCTAAATTTACCATGAAAAAATAATTATTTTATAAAACCCAATCAAAAAATTATTATTTAGTCTAACATATCCAAACACAACTTATTACATACAATCAATTATTAAAGCAATCTCTTTATTCAACCCATCCAAACACACTAATAGATTATTGGTAGGCGTAGCTTTTAATACTAGAGCATTTTAACCGTCTTAATTTATGTAATTCACGTCTACTGCCGTTGTCTTTCCTGCTTAAGGGAGAATAACGTGACATTTGATTATTATGAACTTAACAAATACAACTTTAACTGTATTCTAAATTGCATATTTTCTTCCCACTGCGTCTGGAACTAGACACAAATAATATCAAAAGAGAAAAAATTATTGTAAACGTAAAATCTCAATTAGCAAAATTTTGTAGATTATTAACTTTAAAAAGATAAAGGGGGCATCACTATCTAGTTCACCACACTACAGGTATCCGTAGTACATTTTGGATTTGTTGCTACAAATAAAATAGCTACCAATTTTGTACTTCATCGGAGGGGGAAAAAATATTGTTCTCACGGAAGCAGCCGTTGCTCTAGAGACCATATCCTGGGAGAAAAGAAGAACGCATGGTCAGCCAAATAGGTTAGTATAATTTATCTTTTCACACCTCTGCGTACACGTAATGACTATTGCTATATCTTCCTATCAAGCCAATTAGAGACCCTAATTCTTCTATCATATATCTCTAATGAAAGCATTATAAAGTATCCAAGCCTCAAACCTGTGAATGAGTTGCTATATCCTCCTATAAATCCGCTTAATAACAATATTCCTACTACTTTATAAAGTATGTATTAAATGAAAAAATACATACATTTATGATGTTGAAACATAAATGATACTTTCTTCATTTAATAAAGGATTCGTAAGCATTAAAATAAGATTTTGAATTATTTGTATAAATATAACCGCATAGCAAATGCGTGGGATACAACTAGTACTCCATTTAAACTACATACCTGAATTGTCCATGGGGTTGCCAGCAGGAACAGACTCGGGTTCCTTTATCTCAACAACCACACAGTCTGACATTAAGAAGGTTTTGGCCACAGAGGCTGCATGTTCCAGGCAACATCTGACCACCTGGACCAAGGAATAGAATCTTGAACTTTAAAAATTTCATATGAAGCATAAATATCTAATTATATATATGGGAAGAGCAGACACATGCAGAATGGACCCGTTCATGGTTAAAGCCCCGTCTGGAAGAACTTATAAAGAACTTAAAATAATATCAAAACATGACACGTCTATAAGATCAATTAGGTGAAAAGAGAAAATCAATGTTTAGAAACGAACATTAGTTAGACGTAATACAAATATAAAATATTGTAAACATTAGTCAGACATAATAAATTATTGGCATAAAAGTTAAAAAAGTAAAATATAAAATATAGATAGATATGTCTGGGTAGTTCCAGGAAATAATTGCCTATTTCCAAAAGCTCTCTTACAAAGTTGGAAAAAATAAATGATTTCTTCTTCAAAATAAACTAAACCAAACATTTATACCCCAAATACAAAAAGAGTAAACAAATCACAAGTTACCAACACAATGTGATTTTTATTTTGAAGTGACCATGCTTCCTTGGAGAGAAATCTATAAAAAATTACGATAGATGAAAATTATAATTACATTGCCCCAGACTGAAGAAAAAATATAAACAACTCCATTTATACCACCCCCCCCCCCCCAGTATGAAACACTCAGGTATCACGTATCATTTAAAAAGCTCGTTTGGCACAAAAATCAAAGCTAATTCAAATCACATATGATATAAGATACCCAGATCGAAACATTGAGTTCTCAAATAACTGTCATTCCTGATGATGTTGGAGCATGAAAAGTCTAATATAACAGTATAAATATGCCCACATATTACACAAACCATAAGTCCAATTTATCAGATATTTTGAACCTGCAACTGGAGAGGCAATAAATCACATGTGGGTAAATTAAAAACAAATGATGCTCAATCAGCAAATCACCTTTGTCGGATCAATGATCCCAGCAGACATTAAATCTTCATATTTTCCAGTGGCAGCATTATATCCATATCTTGGATTGTCACTAGACAAAACCTAATCACAATACAAGTCACATCATCATCACAAGTACAATCGCATGGCAATTTGACACTCCAAATTGAGCAAATCCTGGTACCTTCTCACTGACAACACTGCCATTTACACCGGCATTCTTGGCAATTAATTTTAGAGGGTAGCTAAGAGCTCTTTTCACAATATCAGCTCCAACCTGCAATATCAAACACGGTTTCAAAGCCAGTCAATAAACATTCGATGATTAACAGATTGTAACAGTCAGGAACATTTCCAAGTACCCAAGAAAATATCACCACATTCAAAAAACATTTATCCTTGTCATATCAAATAAATGACTCACTTTTTCTTCATCATTATCAAGGCTATCTTTGATTGCATCCACCTTTGATGCAAGCCTAAGCAAAGTGCACCCACCACCAACTACAATACCTTCCTCAACAGCTGCCTGAGAGTCAACAAGATATTAGATCACAGAAACAAAATCCAAGATGATGACTAAATATTTTGGAAAGAAATGGTCACCTTAGTAGCATTGAGAGCATCTTCAACTCTCAATTTCTTCTCTTTGAGCTCTGTCTCAGTTTGTGCTCCAACCTACACATGTATGTAAAAAATTGCTCTAGTTGATATGCCTTGCAGATTACAAAACTAGTATATAACCATATTTCAGAAAGTTTGATACCTGTATCACAGCCACACCACCAGACAATTTTGCAATTCTCTCGTTCAGCTTTTCCTTTTCATAGTCTTGTTCTGCAGCCTGTAATAATATTTAATACATTGTTACTTGTTAGACCGTGAAACATGAGCTGTCCACATACTCTGCCATCTGTACTATGCATACTCACATGCATAAATGCAAATGTATCTAACTATCTAAGCATGTGTGCCATCCAAAACCCTAAAGTACATTTCTCCCTTGTTAAGTATACCATTAAGTCATGCTTTAATGTACTCATGAAACCCTAAACTTGCCTCAATTAAATATGAAAAATGTTGTGGGGAGAAAAGAGATGGAAAGATACCTCAATTTGGTTCCTAATTTGTGAAACTCTCTTGTTCACTGCTTCCTGGGTACTTCCATCACCAACAATTGTGGTTGTATCCTTGGTGAGCACCACCTTGGAAGCATGTCCCAGAACCTCTTTCCCAGCTTTGTCCAAAGTAAGGCCAACCTCTTCTCTGATTACAGTACCTGTAAGCCAACCAAAAAGTATATAATGTTATCAACAGCAGGAAACATAAAAAAGATAGAGAGAAGCATATAAACACTACCAAATCAAACAGAATAATCAGAGACATGAAATTTTTTAAATTAAAGACCTCCTGTCAAGATGGCAATATCATCAAGGTACTGGCTCTTGCGTTCTCCAAATCCAGGGGCCTTAAGTGCTGCAATCTTCAGTGATCCTCTAAGTTTGTTCACCACGAGAGTTGCTAGAGCTTCTTGTTCAATATCCTCCGCAATAATCAAAATAGGGTATCCACTTCTAATGGCATCCTCCAGTATATTAATAAGATCCCGAGCATTTGTTATTTTTTTATCAACTAACAGCAACTGCCCAACATACACAAAATACAAAATCATAAGCAAATACCAAGAAGTTAATTATAATAATGAGTTAGAGGAAAATTGAAAAATAAAATGCCGCACCTTACAGTTCTCATATTCAACAGCCATTTTCTCACTGTCAGTAACAAAGTAAGGAGAGATATAACCACGATCAAATTGCATCCCCTCAACAACATATAGGCTGTTATCAGCACTCTTTCCCTCCTCAAGTGTCACAACACCCTTTCTACCAACCTTGCTCAATGCTTCAGCTATCATATTTCCTACTTCATAATTGTTCCCTGCACTGACTGCTGCCACATCTGCCAACTCACTATCTTCAACCTGCAATCATCCCCAACCACAACAGTTAATCTAAACAGAAAGGTGAGTGACATAATTACTACATGAAACACTACAATATGATAAGAAATGAAAAGAAATTCGAAGTTCGAACACCCAATTTAATAAGCACATTTTAAAACACACCCACGGACAGAGATAAGTACGACAAAACAAGTGTCACCTCTTTTGACATCTGTTTTAGCTCAGATACAAGAGCTTTCGCTGTCTTCTCAATGCCACGAGTGATGAGCACAGGGTTGGCACCAGCTGCAACAACCTGCAGAAATTGAAATAAACCGTGACCCAATTGCATGATAATCCAAATCAAGTAGTTATTATCCATTCCACATTTCTAACCAAACAACAAGCCCACCTTAACACCTTCTGCAATAAGACCCTGGGCTAGAACAACCGAGGTCGTGGTTCCATCGCCAGCCAAGTCGTTCGTCTTCGCCGCAGCTTGTCTCACCAACTTTGCACCAATATTCTCAACAGGATCCTCCAACTCAACCTTTTCAAACCCAACGCAACAAAACAACAATAAAACCACCGTAAAATTCACCCAGAACAACCACTCAAACATTAAATTTAAATAAATTCAAAATACTATAATACCACAAAATTCAAAAGAAGCTCCTAAAGCGCACCTCTTTAGCGACAGTAACACCATCGTTAACAATTTTGGGTGAACCATACTTGCTCTCGAGAACGACATTCCTTCCTTTAGGACCAAGAGTAACCCCAACCAGATCCGCAAGCTTGTTCACACCACTCTGCAAAACACAAACAACAAAAATCACAATACGCGCGTTTCACAGTCACAACTCACAGCAAGTAAAACACAAAGTACCTGAAGCTTCTTAATAGCGGTGCCATCCTTGTTGAAATGCAACTCCTTAGCCATAGCGGAGACCTTAGCGTTGCGGCTCCGCCTGGAGAGAACGACACTGTTGCTCCGGCGGCGGCCACCGGCGAAAGGAAAGGAGGAAATGGAAGCGGAGGAGGAGAGCTTGTAAGCGCCAACGGAGGACATTGCTGAGAAGGTGGACGCCATGGATTCGCTAATTCAATCGAATTGGTTTGAATGGTGGCTAGGGTTTAAGGAGGGTTGAGGAGTATTGTTATGGATAACGAACGAAGGTGGAGTCGTCGAGGGAAGTGTGTGAGAGAGGGATTAGGTTTTTATTATTACAATGCTGAAGGAGCTGTGAGGTTTGATCATTGATCTTGAAGCTTCTGTTTCATCTGGACCGTTCGATTTCAACCGTGGATGGGTATTGTTGTCGTACATTGGAATGCTCTAGAACTTGTGTTCCCTTCATGCTAGTAGGATTTGGTATTGGTTGTTATGCAAATGAATTTCCTCCCGTTCATATATTTGGATGGAGATAAAAATAAAATATAAGGTTCAATGATAACCAAATAAACATCAACAAGCCTGAATTTTGAGTTAACAAATCTTAATATTTAATAAATAAATACCTATTATGAGATTTTTAAGATAAATTATCTAATGTCTACTAATGTAGTTAAAATTAAAATTACTCAAGTTATAAATTATAATTTTCTAATAATATTCTAAAAATAAAAATTCTAGAACATTACGCTTCGCATCTTCTTGGCATATTTTAATGCTAATTAAGTGTTGGAAAATGGATAAAGGAACTTAATTTGAAATTTGTTTTAATATATTTATCGGAATTAAAACAATGTATGAAATATGTAAGATAATTTTAGTTATCAAATCTTTAGAATACTATGACCCAACGTTTGAGATCCACGCATCCCTCGTCTCACGACGGTGGAGAATGAGGTTGCTCACCTATGTCATTGCTTAAAAAATTTAGACATTTTCCAGCTCAGTCAGTATAATCACAAATAACTAAACTATCATTTTCACAATGCTTTATTTCTTTTATTAGCAGATTATATGTCAAGGGAAAGCTCACATTCTTGTTAAAAAGATTTTTTTTATTCACCAGAATGCTTCCCTTTGAAAGTTGTGTTAAAGATCTTGCCTTTGTTAACTAATAAATTATAATTATATATATAATATATATTAATATAATAATATTCTTTCATTTGTCACAATTAGTGCCCATAAACTTCATGATGAATATATATGTACATCATAAAACAATATCAAAATTAAGAAATTGAATGTCACAAGATAAATCCTTTAAAAATTTATGAGGAAGATAATTTAATAAAAAAATACTATCTACTAATACAATCATCAAATAACATGATTCTTTTTAAGTCAAAACTTTTAACTAATTTTAAATCTTAACTAATTCATATAATAAAACGAGTTCATTCATCCTGAACTATTTTGTCATTTTTCTTATCTAATTTATATTCTAAATAAGTAATAACTTATTTTTAAATATTGAAGAAGTAGAAAAAAAATGTTTGGATTGACTCTTTTACCTGCAATAATTTTGTATTTGATGATAAAAATCAAATTTTTTGTTTATCCAAAGGATGAAACCCTAAGTTAAGGAAAAGGATGAAACCTATCTATGATTGTCTTTTTTAACTACTTTAAACTATATCTTAAGCTTTTTAAGTAGTGTTGTAAAAATAGGCTCAGTCTTTTCACTCAGAAAAAGTATTAAATCAATAGATTAGTGATTGCATTGGCGAGTCATGAAGAAAGAGAATTTTTTTTATAAATATTTTATCTATTTTTACATCAACATAATATTCATTGTATAACAAAAATGATCCTAGCATATGTGAGTCTATAACCATGTAGGCACATGACCACCTAAGCGGATGCAACATAATAGGAAGAAATTTTAACATTAACAATGTATTGTATTGTTATAATACTCTAAAATTTTCTTCTTTAGATATATACTATAATTATGTATTGTGGGAATTGGATTGAATAGATACAAAAAATACCTTCTTACCTAACGAGATATTCAAACATTTATTTGTAATAGACTAGAAGCAATTTTCCATTGTAATAATCTATCTTCTATGCTTTTGATTATTCAAAATAGAACATATTCTCAATTAAAAACGTAACAAAATCTTACATAGTTATTTATATAAGGTTAGTTGAACTAAAAGGTTCTTATTAGTTTTAAACACCCTTTTTTTTTTTCATCTCCTTCTTCTTTAATTTCTGAAAGTTTGTTTTACTTTGCAACATGCAACGAAAATATTGTTTAAAATACATACACCAATGTTGAGCAACCTAGAAACTAGTAGGTATTCACTCATTAAAATTTGCTTAATATTTGAACTACTAATAATAAATATTGTAATATATTAAATTAAAAAAATTATCAATGAAACAAAAATAACTTTGAGTGAGTTAGTGCCAAACTTGTAATAAATTGGTGGTTGTTAGGTAACTACAATTTTGAGTGATGTTATTTCGCATCTTTATTTCTTTCTCATTGATGGACTTAATGTGTTCATGCATGTTTCTTTTCTTATTGAAAGTCTGTACTTTTCCTTTGCTTTGGTTGAGAATTGCTCACATATGGTTATGTGTTAGATTTCATTTAGAATAAACATAACAGAAGTAGTATCAACTCACTAAAGCCAAAATATAATTTTACTCTTATTATAATTATTTTTCAGTAAGCGAAAATTGTTAACAACCTCACTTAAGCAAAGATTTTGTAGCTTAAGTTGAATTCTATATATAATAATTTGTGGTTTTATGCAAGATTTTTTTATATTAGTGAAAAATGCAATGCTTAAGCAAAGAAAGGTGAAACTAAAAGGTATTTAGTGATTGTAATTCACTTCAACAAATTGATGGAAGATATAAGCAAAATTTAGATAACTCTAAATTCAAACCAAAATATACTAGAGTGAACACTACAATATTTGCTTAAGTGAGTTTCTTGTGCTCTTTGATAACACCACTCTTTAGCTCTTACATTTTTTCTTTTCCACTTATCATATTCTACTCAAACGAAAAAATTATTTTGTCTCTCATTTTTATCTTTTCATCACTTTTTCCTCTTCTTTATTCCTTCACTCAAAAGAATATGATTGCGTGTTCAAGTTTTTTCTTTCAATTAAGCAAATACAAGGTAAAATCTCCATTTTTGTTAAACAAAATTAACATAAGCAACCCAATCTTGTCTTAGCAAATTTCATGATGTGGACACTTTAGACATTCAATTTGCTTAAGTAAACTAGTCTCACTTAAGCAATATAGCATTAGTAAATTACATACCCTTATTTGTTTAAAGGGGATATTTGTTTGCTAAAACAAATTTAGGTAAAAGCTTATTCTTTTAAAATCATGATTTTTGCTTAAGATCATGGCTTAAGTGAAATTGAGCGATAGTGCATTTCTTCTTCTTCTTTCACTCTAATTTTTATTAAAATAGTGTTTTATTTTTAACAAATTTTGTTTTTCCTTGCAATAATTTTACTATGCTTTACTAATTTAATCCAGGATGACCCTTCTTTAAGCAACCTATCAACTTGGTGAAACTTCCCACAACCTAGAACCAACCACAAGGAGTTAAAAGAGAACTTCAAAGCCCTACTCCTATACTAGCTCTTCCATCATTAAACAAGGTCTCGATCTAGGAGTAAATGACAAAGGTATATTGCACTTTAGCTTAGAGGGCTTTTACCTTCGAGGAAGGTTTGACTAAAACTCGATGAATATTATGAATTCAATATAAACTTAAAAGACGTAAATAGAAATTTTGGGTACACTTCCAGAAGTGATTGTTAAAGAATTTTATGTTAATGCTTAGTTGTTGAAACCCAAATCAACTAACAGAGGTCTTGGGTGTGCAGGTTAGTAATTCTTTATGATTGAAATGTGATTAACACTTTGTTGGGCGGTCTCATGGTTTTGGAGAAAGGAAGGTGATGCACTTATTAGTATATGAAGAAGATAACTTTAGGATTTGATGATCATATGGTAGCAAAACTTTTATGTATCTAATCCACCTATGAATCTTATGCTTAAGGGATGCCATTGCGATTTAATAGGCAAAGTATAAGGACTTTTAGATTTGAACACCATTCTCATATATCAACATTGCTCTTATTACATACACATTAATATCTTTGTATGCCTAGACCCTACTTTATCTTCTAAATCATGAAGTAATTAAGGGTAAACATTATTGTAATTATATCTAAGAAGATACATTAGTTTGTAATCTTGAACCCTTTGTAGCAATTAGCAACTTCTAAGCCTTTAGGCTTCCCTATCTTAAACTCTTTGCAAGGCCTGGAGTCAGGATTTTTAAGGCTCAGTTACCTTCTATCCCGCTTAAGTGACCTATTAATGCCTATTTCATTAGAAATTATTGTGTTAACTAATTAGAGCACACACAACATTAGCCTCAGCCTCAATCTTTGGCCCCTACTTTAGCACCTCCTATCCTAGCATCCATGGAAACTTAACTATCAAGTGTTCGTGGGTAAGTGTACTTGTCAAAAAAATAATAAAGAAGTTCTCAAATTGAGCTCTTAAAATATTGTCTCACAAAAATTGTTTACAATTATTAAGAATATCTTGATTTAATTACTTGAACAAAAATAATGTGTAATAGAATAAGAGAAATTTATATAATATTAAAATTAAACAGTAATGAGAATAGAGCTGGCAAAATGAGCTGGCTCGATGGATTGGGCCAAAAAAACTCATTAAATGGGGAGATTTGAGCTCTAAAAAATAAGACTTGAAATTACCTTGGGCTATTTTGGCCTGGTCCAAATAAGCCCAGTACTCGATAGGGCTTTAACTGGGTTGGCCTATGCAGGTTCGGGCAGCCCGTATATATATATTGAGATTAAACCCTAAGTTTTAAGGAGTTTGGAAGATAATATATTTTAGTTTCAAAACCCTAAAATTACAAGTCTCAACTATTTATTTTTGCATCGCTACTCTACTTGTCTCCGTCGCTGAACACAAATTGCAAATAACATTTGAATTCCAATTTTCACACGCGCCGGTCACTGAATGGAGATTGCAATTGCAAATCGTATTGCATTTGCATTCCAATATTCCATTTAAGGTAATTTATTTCCATTCCAATATTCTATTTGTGTACTAAATGTTTATTTATTTTTAGGAAAATTTAATTTGGCTTGATGCTCATTGATTTATTTATTTTTAATTAATTCATTATCTTGTTGGTTTCTTGTTCTAATTTAGTTGTTAAGATTTTTCTTTTTGGTTAAATAGCTGAATAAGTTTTAAATTATTTGCAGTTTGTCAATGAATTCTAGTGTGGGATTGGAAAATTTAGAAGATTGTCAAATATTAGAAAGCAATCTAACACTTAAAACTCAACCAGATTTAGATGGTTCACAAGTAGAAATTAATGACTCAAAGTTAGAAAA